ATTCCTAACCAAAACAAACATTCTTATCTTCATTCTGTTATTGTTGAACATAATATTCATGGCCTTTGTAGAGACCTTAATCTAAAACATGTATGTATGGAAGCAAATAAAGATTGCAAAAATAAATACCCATTGTAATGCTAGTATATTTTGTGATAATTCATATCCCTTATATAAATGTCGTAATAACGGTATACCTATTAAAGTTAGAGGTTAAATGTTAAACAACCGATGGGTCATAGCGTACAATTCTTATTTGAGTACAAAATTTGTCTGCCACATTAATCTTGAAGTATGTTCTTTTATTAAAATTGTAAAATATTTGTACAAATATATGTACAAAAGATATGATCGTATTAATATTTCAGTTGCCACAAATGAAACAATGAAAGCAATCGACAAAATCTTTGTTTATCAATTTGCTAGATGGATATCTCCACCTGAAGTTATGTGGATGATTTTTTCGTTCAATTTAGTGGCAATTTATCTAACTGTTTAATTTTTACAACTTCATATTGAAAATTATCAACAACTAAGATATGACAATGAAGATGATTTATCTAATGTTATTGAGAATGAAAATATGAAAAGAACAATGTTAATAAAGTTTTTTCAAGTAAATGAAGCAAATGAATTTACTCGTACACTGGTGTATCGAGATTTTCTAGCACATTTTGTTTGTAATTCAACTAAGAAGATTTTGGCTCCCAAAAATAAACATGCTGTCATATGACGAATTGTCACATCGAATCCATGTGAAGGAGAATGATATTTTCTGTGGAGTAACTGTTAGTACATATCGAGAAACATCACTTTTACATGGTTTGTTAAGTAAAGACAACCATTGTGAATAATGTCTATTTGAAGCTACATGTTTATGAAATGCCTACTTCTTTAAGATGTCTCTTTACTACGCTTCTTATGCTTTGTGGCCCTAATCATCCCAAGCTACTATGGGATAAATTTAAGGTTTATATTACTATGATTAAGTACACGAACATAAAACCTTCGGACGCTATTGAACTACAGGCTTTAGAAGACATTGGTTTTATTTTAGAATCATTGGGTAAAAATATAAATGACTATGAGGTAGTGTCATTCAGTATTAATATAGATGAAAATGAAAGGTTGAGAAGAATGGTTGTAGAGGAGACAACAAATTTGGACATTGAAGGAGGTTATGCTTGTGACCGGCAACAATTTGCGTACGATACAATTATGGAAAAAGTAAATTCCAATTCAAGTGCGGTATATTCATTGATGGTCTAGGGGGAACAGGTAAAACTTATATATATAAAGCTCTCTTAACTTGTGTGAGGTTTCAAAATTTAATTGCTTTGGCTACTACTTCATCTTGAGTATCTGCATCTCTTTTACCCGGAGGCCGAATAGCTCATTCAAGATTCAAAATTCCTCTGAAAAAATTTGGAGAAGTTAGTTGTTCTATTAGCAAACAATCAGCTTTGGGGGCTTTGTTGAAAATGTCAAAGTTAATACTTTGGGATGAAGCACCTATGGTGAATCGTTGTACCGTTAAAGCTGTTGATAAAATGCTCAGAGATGTTACTGATTGTAACTTGCCTTTTGAAGGAAAAGTGGTAGTTCTAGGAGGAGATTTTCGACAAATTTTTTAGCTGATATCGAGAGGAAAAAAAGAAGACATAATAAAAGCTAGCTTAATCTTTTCTAACCTATGTCCTATATATTCACATCTGCCATTGGTTGAGAACATATGAGCGAAATTGGATCCCACATTTTGTGATTACTTGCTTAGAATTGGAAATAGAATAGAACAAGAACACAATTGTTATTGCATTCAACTTTCAAACAATATAATTGTGCCATTTGAGGATGAGATTATATCTCTAAAAAATTAATAAATAAAATTTTTCAAATATATAAGCATATGTTGATAATTTATAGGCGATGGCAAACCGAGTCATTCTAAGGCATAGAAACGAATGGGTTGATCATATTAGCAGAATTTTACTTGACCAAATTCCTGGTCAAATGTACACATATTATAACTTTGTTGAAGTAATTGACAAATTAGAATAGAGCTTACAGGAAGATTTCTTGAATACTTTGACTTTGAACGGTATTCCACCGATGAATTGAAGCTTAAGATAAGCTGTCATGTAATGTTATTGCGGAATATCAATCCTCTTGAATGGTTATGCAATGGGAAATACCTTACTTATAGAAAATTTGATAAGAATGTAATTCATGCTAAAATTATAACCGGTGAGTATTGTGGAAAACATATTTTCTTATCGAGAATCCTTTTTGTACCTCTGAAAAGTGAAACTTTAACTTCATTTAAAAGAACTCAATTTCTAATTAGGCCATGCGTTGAAATGACTATAAATAAAGCACAAAGTCAAACACTGTCGTGGAGAACCTATTTATACTTGTGCCTAGAAATGAATGTGTTGACGACAATACCAGAGATTTACTTAAAACAAATTATACATACTATACTTTTTATTGAGCAGTTGACGCATCATCATGCAGAAAAATTCTTCAATAGTTTAATAGCAAATGGTATTCTACTCATCATAAGCATGTGTAATCGTGTGTATTATTTACGTTATTCTTTTGTAATTGGTTGTCTTACTTTCTTCATTTATGTGGAAGACCAAACAAAAAGGATCCAATGTTCTTTTGTTGTCAAGCATATCAAAGCCCTTGTTCATATTGTAATCTTTCTTCCTATCTCTATTTATATATGTGTGTATTTATTCAGATTTTTCTTCTAATTATTAGTTAAGAGTCTTTCGTTTTGGATCTCATAAGGTTTTGTGCTCTTATATGAATTTGAATTTTCTTGCTTCTTCTTCAGTTTTGTGCTCTCCTGATCAAAAAAATTGAGAATATGATCATTTTCAAATATTTATTTTCTTTAAAAAAAATTAAGGGTTGATTGGTTATCTTGATGCTGATGTCAAAATCAATTTTGATATGATGATCTCTAGCTTGAGTTTCTATTCTAAAAGTTATAGTTTACTCAATTGCTTTATCTTTATTGCTTCTTTTGAGTTTGTGTGAAAGAACTGAAAGTTTGAAAAGATCTTTGTTCTCCTTGTAATTCGGTGGTTACTATTTCAACGCTTAGTTACCATCCTCGATGGAGCTATTTTTTATTTCCAAAGCTTGTTTAATGTTTTATTTTTGCTTTTGTTTTGATCCTTCTCTATTGAGTTTACTGTTGGATAATAAATGCATATATTGTTTCCAGATGATGCTCGACCTAATTTTTATATTTGACTTGGTTGAGATCACAGTCAATTTCACTCAAGATATTAACTTAAGCCCAACTTTTGACTTTTGAACACCTATTTTTCTGGAGGCTTCAAAATGTTAACATGGTGTGGAAAATCAAATTAGTATGGTTAACCCCTTATTCATTATTTTTTCTTCCTTTTATTCTCAATTTTTGTTAGTAAGCATTCATTTATCCATTACAGTTGACCACTTGTTTATCCATTACAATTTAGTCATGAAATCTGATTGAGAACTGGGTAACAACAGGAATTCCCAAAGGATGTCCATGCCCTGCAACATCCATACCAGTAGAGGTCGACAGTGCCAAAATAAACGGTAGGTTGATTCAAGTGATTCTAAGGCTAATTCAATTGATTCGGAAGTGATTCCAATAGGAGGGATATTAAACATATAAAATAGGACATTTTACATAGAATGGGCACAATTATCATTTGCTTAATATGTTATAATATCATTGGCTTACCGAAGTTCTAAATGTTACATGATTCTGTCAACCATTAGTATATTTTGTTAAACATAAAAAAATAAAAAAAAAAATCAAGAATCATTCATTTTATACATGTTGTAAATATGTAAAAATTCCAATATTGGATGAATGGTGAATTTTATGCTTGCTAAAAATTTTCTTTTGCAGGCACGCTTAAAAAGTAACAAACTTCATGCATAGCAGAAAACTTTTCTTTTTCACTATAAAAGAGAGGATCTCCCATTACTGTTTATTATCTAGTAATTTTCTTAATATAAAATGACAAAACCATCCATTTTCACTCCCCGTCTTGCCACCTTTATTCCAAATTATATTGAAAGGAATAATAATTTTTTTGGAGAATGTGTGATTAAAAAAGAAAGAAAAGTTTTTGAGTTTCCGTGTAATATTATTTTATTGGAGAATGTGTGTTTGATAAGAAAAGAGAAAAAAATAAATTATAATTCAATGAGAAATAATTGGGGCCAAATGGGGGCTTCTTTTCATCACCCATTTCCTTAACCCTAATTGCCTATGTTCTCTCTCAACTCTCATACAAAAGTCGTTCTGTACGCTCTTTCCAGTTTCTTTAGGTCTATATAGTTAAGCATTTGTTTTCCTTGTTGTTTTCTTCGACTTTTGGTGAAAATCTAGAACAAACCGAGGACATTTCTACAGGAAATTGAAGAGTGTCAACATCAAGTATGCATTCAAATGACAAACCCAATATATAAAAAGAAATAAAATCAAGAATCATATATTTTGAAAATCCAATGCCTTGGAATTCATTGGAATTCAAGAAATTAAACTTTTCCTTTTCTTTGGGTGCTAAGAAATTTTGTTTCCATAGGATTCTGGGAATTTTTACTGAGGTTAGTGGTCACTCGTTCGAGTTTGGATGTAGCTCTGACTATGCATTAACTTAACAAACCACGCCAACAAACTGTTATGCATATACTTACACATACATAAATTGAACGTAATTCTAGCTTATCTTGTTGGTATCAGTAAAAATATGAAGTGGAAAATTCACCTAGTGTAATTTTTTAGTTAATGTATTACATCTATGTGCCATTGAAGATAACTCATCATGATCATTAGTATAGAAATAAACTTAAGCCATGTGATGTGAATTTAAGTAATCTTTGTCATGATTGTGGATTGATTTTTCTATTTCAATTATGTATATATGTTTCTACTGAAAAATATATTCCTTCATTTCTTTCAAGAACATCAACTGCCAGTCATGATGCTTACATGTTTACTATGGTTAGGTGGTAATTTGCTTTATGATCCTGCCAGCGATCAAGAAATCTTAATCTTTTGTTCTCAGACTCTCAGAAGTGAGGTAATATTTATTTTTTTCTATACTTCATTTGTTTTCCCATTTGAATTTTCACCAGCACCAGTTGATCTGCTTTTCCATTTGAATTTCCACCAGCACCAGTTGATGATTTGTGAAAACGAGGCCGTAAAGCATTCTTCTTATGCCAATATTAACTTTTTATAGTTTTTATCTCATCAACAGGTGCAATGGGATTTTGAAGAACTTTATTTTAAAGCTTTTCATCCACTGCAGGATTCACAAAAATGTAAGTCCGTTTACCTTGTGAAGAATTCAGTTTCTGGGAGATGAATACACAGTTGATGAGCACTGACTTGTTATGTTTTTGTTTGAAGTTTGGGTCGATTCTCCTTGCACAATAAATGTTCACATTTATAACCGAGGGTTATAGTTCAAATATGACTTCAATCATTTCTTCCTTTTATTTCTTGTGCTTCCATATAGGATTTGTCCAGTTTTCTAAGTGTTGTAGGCCAAAACCAATTGATAATAACCAAATAAGCTAGATTTGTAGTTTTATAAGGTTTATTTATTTATTTTATTTTATTTATTTTTTATTTTTTATTTTTTTTTATGATCTCTTAGCTCAATTTAGGCTGATTTAGCTTTAAAACTTTAGTTCTTGCTACATCTTTGCTTGTGTATGGATTTGTTTATTATTTTCGTCAGTTATATCTAACTTATTTGTTTTTCTTGTTGTATGCTATGTGAAATATCTTTTCAGTTACTTTTTGTTTCAATCTAATTTATTCTAGAAGTTTTATTTCGGATTGATATGTGATTTTTGCTATTTATGCTTTCATGACAGATACACCAGTTCTTTGTGAGTATGTTAGTGTTGATGTGTAATGTGTTTAGA